CATTTATCCAACGAATGGCGCTATCATAATTGGCGATAAGTATAAGTTAAACAATCAAATCGAAACTTATGGTTTACCTCCTGTAGATCAGCATTAGCAGGGATATCTTCTTCATCATCAAATACGGCCTGTATATGACGATTACGATCTGCAATATTTGCTCGTGGTAACTCATCAAATTCCTGCTCCTGGTCTCTTCTCGCTACTACTCTCATCTCCCCTCTCTCGTTAATCCCTCCAATATTATCCTCCTGATCCACATTGTCCACATATTCTGCTTCATCTCCCGAATCTACATTATCCTCTTCATCCTCAAGACGCACCTCCACCTCAAGCTCGCCGTTTCTTCCTAATCGCTCAATTGCCCAAGGACCACCATGTGCTGCCATTCTACCAGCTGCCTCACCCGATGGGTCCATGACGAAGATTATAAGACGGACGAGAAAATCGGATAGTTTATTCACCAGCAAAACGATTCCACAGACAGAAATCCAGGTCTCACTGCCATGCACAAGTAAGGCGGTAACGACTCGATTGAACAAGGTTGTGAAGAAGGTGAATATAAGATCAATATTGATAAAATTTTCAGAAGGCAGAGGAGTAGTTTTAAATTCGACAGCATAGGCCCGTATAGCTGAGATTTTTGGCATCAAAGAATCTTCATCCCCGGTCATGGGCGAAGTAGTCGGTGAAATTGGAAAATATGATGGACCCAAGATAATAACGGCAGTGATTTTGGAGCACCAGGTGATGAAAAGAAGTTGTGGTACTTGAATTCGCTGCCAGTGATATGATAGATAGCCTTCAAGCATCAATTCGTTGTACAGATGAATCTAAAATAAAATATCAAAAAGACTAAGCTCGTTTATCCATAACTAGAATCCCAAATCTACATAATTTTATCACTCCTGCTATGAAGCTACTGGATAATCGCTTAACCGATATGCTTAGTAGATAAAAAATTAACCTACTAATCCTTTAAAAAATAAGAATCTATTGTGATATGACTTTCCCTTTTCAAGGAAAAATTAATTAGAAGAATTCGTTATGTTGTCTCACCGGAAATCGAAGGAGGATTGCCGCGTAGGGAAGACAGTTGTATTGCGCAAATTCCTCGGCTCACCGTCCTGTGACCCCTGTTCTAAGCTTCCGTCTGTACTGTGACAGACATCATCCGAGCAAGAATCCATACTTTACGAAATAGAGCAAAAATATACAAAAACCAAGAGAAAAGGTGGCCGGCTGCAACCCTAGTCGCTTTATTATAGACCTAACTTGTCGATCGTAATAATGCATCCCAGGATTTAGCTGGCTACTTTAAACTTACTTTACATGCTTGCAGATGAGTGAAGTTACCTCACGAACCATAAATGCATTAAGTGGCAGCTGTTTCCCTACACAAATAAACTGTCTTACGATCCTCTAATGTTGATTCATGTTTGGGTTTGTGCTATTGCATATTGTGTATGTAATGCCCAAAATAAAACATGGGATTAAGGTGAAGACTTTCAGTTGTATGGAACTATATGATGAAGAAATTCATAGGTCAATCTCACCAGAAGACGTCAACTGATTCTCATTGTATTGCAGCCGATTGGCATCACTATGACCTTCAGGTTGATAAAATCTACGAGACATGATGCATCATGTAATTCCATAAGAAATGAAATTCTTTACATCAATATTATCTCAAGACATTCTTCAAAACCCGTAATTTCAACGTATATACAAAACATGGGATACCTAATTAATTAGGTATATAAAAAAGCGACTAGAGTTGCAACCGACAACCTTATATTTTGGTTTGGCATATTCTTGCTCAATTTCGTAATGTATGGATTCTTCTTTGATGATGTCTGTTATTGTACAGAAGAAAGCTTAGCATAGGTTCATGGGGCGAGCAGAACGATGAGCTGAGGACTTTAGCACACAATACAACAGTCTTCCATACGCCTCAATCTTCCTTAAGCTTCCAGTGAGACCACATCACGAATTCCTACAACTAAATTTCTTTCGAAATGTAAAGAAATGTAACAATATATCACTAACTAATTGTTCGAAGCCTAATTCTTCTTATAATCAATCTTTATTTCGATTGAATTAGTAAATAGAAATGGGTTGACCTCGTTTTCGCAACTTAGTCTTGTTTTCAGGGCGACTTAGTTGAACCCACCTTGTCCGAAGTCCTCAGCTATAGTAGTTATCACAATTCCCAGCACTTGATACATTCTCAGAAGCTTCGCCGGCATCATCAGTGAGCCTTTCCATTCTCCGCATCAAGCTACAAACTCGTCAGAACAAATGAAGTCAGTCCCTCAACCAACGTTCTGTCGAAACGGTTACACTATCACTCCTCTTTTTGTCCTAGCCCATCTATCCACTGCTTACCTTCTCATCCACCTCCCATCCAATCACAACTTCTGCCATTAACCTCGGTCCCCTCTCCTTCAATCGGCTAACCCGATTGGGCCTCTTATCCGGATATCCCTCCAGTCCAATAGATCCGTTTCTTATCTTTCTGATTGACTGATTTCACTCGGTTCCAGTGCAAGTTTGCGTTTTACTCCAGGCAATATTTCTCGAGGCATTAGAAGCACGTACACTGCCACCTCATCGAGCAGAGCGCCTAGGCTCTGGTTCCCATATTTGCAGATATTAGGCATTGCCTTCATGGATTGTCTCCTTAATTGAACCCGTGTTATCTGAGCAAACTATGGACGCCTATCCCCGGTCACCTTCGGCATCTCAAGCGGATTTATAGTACATTTTGGCCATAATGCAGAATTTATGTGACGGTTGTGCTTATCCGTCTGCGTAGCCCCTGACTACCAGTCCCCCAAAGTTGTACTGGTTTCTTCGATAATGTCTTCGCTTGATTTCCGAATCCTCCCCCCTTTTTTTCCTCATCGTGATCCACTTCCCCCTCGTTAGCGATAGATTCTTTGTCCATACATCTATTTTTTGCTGGTCTTACTGTATGCTTGTTTTTCCCGAGTTCGTTTAAGTAGTAGGCAAAGTTATTGCTAACTATGCTTTCCTCCAATCTCCTATTCATTAATTTTTTCCCCAAGGTGCATTAAACTAAGTGGCCATGAAAACAAGACTAAGTTGCGACAACGTGGTCAACC